GAGAAACCCGCAATAACGTGCTGTGTTTTGCTGGAAACGGTTCGCGTACGGTCCGCATACGATTCCTATTTCAACCGCGCGCGAACGCGGAGAGTCCGTAACGGATTGTGCGCGAATCACTTGTGACTTAAGAAAAATACGATCGTATAAAAAGATTACAGTCCCATTGAGAACTTCATGGTCCTTTGAAAATCTAACAGCCCATGAAAATGTTATGATCACCTCAAAACGTCATGACAAAAAATTTCCGTATCCCAAACAACACCTGTCTTGGCCGATTTTGACCGCTTTTTTTTCAAGGGCCCCTGCTCTTTTAATGGCCTGTTAATTTACCGCGTTACCATAAAAGTCCTAAAAAACCGAAACTTCCACTTACTTTGATGTATTTATCCCGGTCCATTCTCAAATGTTGATGATTGACACCCAGTGCATGCATTGTTTCATGGACTGCTATTCCTCTGCCATTGCCACATTGAAAACTCAAATAGACTGGATTTGCAGGCTCCACACGTCCAATGTAGGATAGTCCGCAGCTGTAAGAATCCACATATAACTCGGTTGGTACAACAGTTCCGGTTTACAAAATTTGAGTTTCTTAAAAAGTGTTTGGTACCACCGAATTAAAGATTTTGCACTCTTTTGCACCCTTGGGTTTTTACGTTAATTACCACAAACTTTTTGTACCATAGGAATAGTTTCCGTAAAAATTAGACATCCGGAATAGTTTGGATATCCGCAAAATTCTAAAAAATTTCTAGCTGAGCGTTCAAGGTTGTTTAATGTTGTCTAAATCTTGCAAATCATACAAGCACGCAATATCTCACGGTCTGTACGTTGCGTGTTCTTTTGTTGACAGAACAGCAGTGACAATGCTAGAGGCATTCCATGTATTTGGTCCTTATATTCCTAGTGTAGACAACGACTTTTTCCGTATTGTTTCTTTTTTCTTCAATTTTTTCTTTTGTCATTTTCTCTATCTACCATATTTCCTCAAATAAAAGCCGACCCGTACATTTTAAGTTCCATTACCCCGATTTTTGGGAAAGTTAGAAACATTTGACGACTACAGCGATCTTGTGATAAATAATTTATCAGTTGACAGATTATTCAATTCTCTCACAGAAATCGAGATAATTAACTTAAAGTGGACGGTTTGGGTAAGCTTTTAGTACAATTCCCTACTTACAAAGCTGGCGAGTTCACTTTCTGATAGTTAATGTGATTGCCTCTTGGTGGTGTAGCATAGTACTTGAACCGAATGCACGTCTTTTGCTCGATTTCTGAAATGGCTCCACGCACATCATTCTGATCCAAATTATCCAATGACGCATCAAATGTGTATGGAATTGGTGCTGTGTTAGGCCATTTTTGGACTACATTCTGCTCGAAAAATATGGAAGCGCGTTTGGCTTTGAAGGAACCCGGTTGGGGAATGGCGCCTTCTCCTCCTTTGCCCAACTCGTTGAGCATGAAATTCGCTTGAGCTTCAGTTAGAAGGAGATCCTTATCAAAGACTCCATTGTCTTCAGGGGCGACCTGAAAAAGAAATAATTTCATTGCAATCATTGGAATCCCCGTGCTCAATTTGAATTTTTAAATCTTACCACTCCTTTAAGTTGGGCTTTCTCTAATAATGCTTGTTTGAGTTGAAGGGTTCTATCAAATCTCATGTTCATTTTATCCGCAACATCAGTTCCAAAAACTTTTTTCTCAAAAGCCACTGTTGACTTCAATATGTCCTGCTTCATTTGCAAATTTTTCTGTAGTTGCGCCTTGCAGTTCACTCTTGAGCAAATGTCCTGAATTTGTTATTGGCACAGAGTTTTCTAATTTGGCATAATTACTTTTATATTATTGGTGAATTGTTGACTGATTTGTCCAAACTGCACAGCGATCCCATTCAATGCGCTTCTCAAGTCAGTGTTAATACCAGTAAGTGGATCTCGAATGTTAATGCTAAAATAAACCGTTAATTTAAAAATTATGAGATTACAACATACAATGGAACTTTAGGGAGCCATTTTCCACTATCCACCAGAATCCCATTAAGAATCGATCCAATATCATTGAATTGAGGAAGTTGTCCGCTGTAAACCGACCAAGCATATTCGGTATATCTAAACTAATTTTTCTAAACTAAAGAACTACAGTAACCCAATAACAAACATATGGCGTACCGACACTTGGGATGACCAGGGAATCGGCGGCAGAACCTTCTCGCATGTTGCTGCCATTCGTTTTGCGGCGGTGGTGGACCATGCGCCATCTTTCCCAGATCATTATTCACGTCGAGGCCTTTGGTTATTTGTCCGATTTGGTTCGTGAGCCCACTCACCATTCCATTTATATTCCCCATGATTTCACCGAATGGGCTTCCGGGGCGATTTCCCTAAATAATCTTTTTTTGGAACTTTACCTATTAAAGGAAATCTCAACACTTTGTAAGATCAAATTTTGATGAAAAATGTTAGGATAGTGTGAGGATAGCCTATCTAGACACTTCTGAGAATATTGTAATCTGATTGCCAGTTTCAGCAGAGTTGTATTCGTTTTAGTACCAAAAATGCTACTTCCAAAAATTCAACAAATTGAAAAAAAGTTGTTTTGAGAAAATGCTTGAAATGTGAAATTATATTAAATACTGAACATAACACAACACATTTTATCTTTTGAAACGACCTAGAAGTTGAAAAAATCATGTTTGAGATGGTTTTTGCACTGTAAACAAATTTTTGATACTCGAACTGATGTCACTCGACTGAAACGTTCAAGCGGACGCTGGTAAAATATCGAAATAGACAATTCTTAACCTATCGGAAACATTTTCATCAAAATCTGGGTTTACACGATGTTGAGTTTTCTTGTTAAAGGTCTCTCTTACTGGTTGAAAGTTTTGTGGTGGTGGTCCATTATTGAAACCTCCTCCTTGTCCTGAAGATTTATAAAAATTCGTAAATTTATCTTAAACGCTTACCTCCTCCAAAATTCAAACCCATTTGGTTCAAAAAATCAAACTGGGGCCAACCATTCGAACTACCAAATAGGAAAATAGCGGAAATAAATATAGAAAATCGCATCTTAGAAGGAGAGTGATTTAATGATGGAATAACAATATTGGTAGACTATCTTCAGGTAGGTACTATCTTATTTTTCGTCCTGATTTCGAAAACTTGTTGTCAGAAAAAAATTGGGATGGCAATCATTACACTCCCACCTTTGTTTTACACTTCCCACCATTTTCCAAAAAAAATAGGAAGTTGCGGGAATAAAAAAAGTTTGACAAAGGAATTAGTCATGGTCATCGTAGGGTCAATAAAATTCTGAGAACTTTATTTAGCTGATTGACTCATCCTTTTCTTGTAGAACTTGAACTTGATCTTCTGAATGAAATATTGAACGGAAAAAATGAATTTTTTTATTTCCTGGTTAAAGAAACCCGAAATTTTTTATGTCGGCAAACACAAGAGAGACACACAAACGGAAAAAGGCAGAGATCCGCACAGAGGAGAAAAAAGAAGGCAAGTGTGTGTGTGTGTGTCTCCCTCACACTCTTGTCATTTGGAAAAGACATAGGAAGTTTGTGGCGCGTTCGTGGTGTAATGGTCAGCATGGATGCCTTCCAAGCATTCGACGGGGGTTCGATTCCCCCCGAACGCAGATTTTTATTTTATTTTTTTATTTTTTAAAACTCATTGTTGATTCAAAATTAAGCATGCGGAGAGTTGAATTAGTGCATTATTGCACATGATCTGCACGCTTCAATCATAAGCTGAATCATTAACACGTGGGCAGAAAATATCAAAATTACAAAATTAAACTTCAAGTCATGTATTTTTCAAACAGTTGTTGATTGTGATCACATCAACCGGAAACAAGAGCAAATAAAAAAGTTGATTGTAAGTTTTCTTGTCTTTTAATTAGTGAATCAATTTTTTTAATTTTTAAAAATATCCCAGAAGTTAGAAATTCCAAAAATTCCAATATTGAAAAAAATAAAAAATCCCATTTTTATTTTTGAAATTTCTAATAATTCTAAAATTTCGAGAACTGAAACATCCCAATTTGAACAGCCCAAAGTTTTGAAAATTCTAAAACTTCCGAATTTTCAAAAAATTTAGAACATTCAAAATTTTTGTAAATTCAAAAATTTAAGATCAGCCTGTTTAATATGTAATTCTGCAAAGTATTGGATTTATTACAATTAACTTCTAGAATTTCACCTGCACGCGAAAGTTGAAATCGGTTATAATTATCTGTAGCTGTTTTCCATTCAACAAAAAATTGAGTAGACTTCTCGAATGTGCTGAAACTGTTTATATTCTTTTTAAATTTCATTTGATGTCTTGATTTTTGATAAAGATGGTTCAGGAGCAGGCTGTTCAAAAAACGCCATTAAAAAAAAAAACAATAATAATATTTTTTCGATTTCTGAGTTTGAAAAAACTGGCAAAATAACTTTCCCGATTTTGAGGTCCGAAGAAATTCAAAAACCCTTTTTATAAGATTTAAGTGAAAAGTATTAGATTGTTCGGAAAGTCCTTTCCACGTTTGATATGTTGTTTTCAAACTTCGTTTTCTTGAAGGGGGTAAAAGCGAGGAAGTTGTCGTTTTATCAGTATGCTGGTGAGGTCTAATAGTGTCTACACCCCAACGGAGATCATTCTCCTCTTTTCGTGCAGTGAGATATGCCCACCGTTTTCGCCTCTAATAATTTCCATTTTTGGACTACCATTTTATTTGTATTTCTATCTGACCTCAGATCAACTGAAATCAATCACCAATTTGTGGAGGTTAACAACGAAGATGCACCCTTTCGAACAAACTTCACAACCTAGATTCATCAATTTGAAAAATGAAAATTCTCGTTGGACGAAAATCCCCCTCCAAAAAAGCATTCGGGCTCAGATTTGGACTCATTAAAAACCGGGATTGAAAGGGACCCGTCTCAAACTGTGCGGGATATATCAAGTACATTAGTGGCAAGCGTTTCGTCAAAAAGCCATAAATTGGGAACATTCGGCAAAGTAAAAAAGTGGGAAGATATGGATCACACCTCTTCGCTCAATGCAACTTTGTTTCATGTGTGGGCACCTGTTTGAATATTCTCATCCTGCGTTGCACACATGATTGTTGAAGTTAAATCATTACTAGTGGCGATAAATGGGTAATGTATGATTACTATAAACAACAATCCAAGTTTGTTGACAAAGGCACTCAACCACCAGACGTCCCGACACGTGAAATTAATGTTAAAAATGGGATGTTTTCGGCATGGATGTCTACCAAGGAGTGGAGTATTGGGAGCAGCCAGATAATGGTGTTACTTTTATGACCGACACCTATTTTTGTCAGGTGACATAACTCAGACTCCATGTGGATCTCCATTGGAGAGAAACACAAAAATTTATTTTCAAAATCGAAATTCGCAACCTCATGCGGGAAGGAGAACGGAGACTGATCTCACTGGATACGGCTAAACGGTTCTGTCTTATCTACAGTATAGTTCAAACCTTGTACTGTCTGACTACTCCCTATCCAGCCATTTCTACCGGCATCTTGATTGAAAAAAATTCACTTCAAAGCATGATGTCAAAAATGGGTTGACCTGATTTTCAATGCGCTGTGACCGGAGTTTTGGAAGGAAGGTATCCACAATTTGGTGGGCCGTTGGCAGATAGTCACTGATAACAATGGTCATTATCTTCAATTTATCAGACATCGTCTTGACCTTTTTTATATCCAATGAATCTGACGCTAAAAATGGAAAGGACTTTCCAAACCCATGAAACGACCTCAATGACAGCATTGCCTAGCTTTTTGCCTAATTACCATAAACACCAACAAAAGCCCCGCCACCCATGACTTCCGAATTTTTCGTCTTTTAAAACAATGGGTAAACAAAGTCGACAAATTTCAAATGTTTCCTTATTTTTCCCAGTTTACTACATTCTATCTTCTGCCTCCAGTCCAAAAAATTTCAGCTTCTTTTCACTCATTCCATCCTCCTTTCTTGTTCTCCCACTAACAAAACAATGCGCGTACATAAATGATGACAAGGCAATAAAATTGGAGAGACTTCCATTTCTTCTTGTCCCATTTCTCTAGAAAAAACTTTTTTTGTGCTATACTCAACTCGAAACACAATTCCTACTGTCAGTCACTCATCTCTGTGTGACAAATTTGTCGCGACGTCGTCTTCTTCATTTAATTTCCAACATTCATATATGTCGCTGACAGCTTATATCCTAGCTTATGTTTTAAGACTTGAAGGGCTGTGCACTTGGCTCATTCGTCCTCTCTCCCATGCTTGGAGACATGAAGCGATTTATCAAAAGGAAACATACAACGTTTTTGTGGTGCGCATATTTTTTGCCTTAAAACCTAATAAATTCTTAATTGAATCATATATAGCAGTGTCCACAAGAGGGTCTCCTTGCTTCCTAGCCTTTCCTTATTTATTTACTCGGGTGGGTCTAATATCTTTAACAATGCCAAAACATGTAGTCGTCCGGAAGGTTTAGTCGTTTCCCTATCCAAAAAAAGCTGAAAGCAGCACGCCTCATAAATTTAGCCAGCTGGCTATATCTTTTTCATGATTTTCTCGTGAAGAATCTGTTTTGATCTTTTCACTCTTCCCAAGTTTTTTGTTAGAAGAAAACCTTTACCCCAAAAACAATAAATATGAATTTATGACGTCTGCGACTTAAGATATCAGGTGAAACAGAGAGATTCGAGAAATCCATTAGTGCTCGCCTACTTCTCGTGTGATATGACTTTTTTCATGAATTCATTCTTTGTTCGTGAGAACCTGAAAACCTCTAAACTAGAAAATGATTTTATTGGCTCATTTTTAGAGGAAAAGTCTCCCTCTAGAAAGCGTATTCTTAACGAGAGGACCTCAAGTCCTTCAGGATAGGTTAAGCATAGCCTATCTAAACACTTGTAAAAATTTAATAATCCGCTCGAAAGTTTCAGCCGAGTTTAATTAGTTTCAGTACCAAAAATGGCTTTTTTAGTGTAAAAACAGTAAGTTTTGAAGACGATTTTCTCAATTTTTAGGACAAATTTTTCGAAATTTTTGATCGCAGAAGAATTACGAACTGCAAATTTAAACTCGATCTATTTTTAAAAATTGTGGTGTGGCAGGTCTAGAGCAAGGAAAAATTTCAGCATTTTTATTTAGTTTTTTACAGATTCCAAACGATTCTAACGAGGTTTAAAAAAATAATAGGTTCTTTTTCCAGAGAAAACATTCCAAAAATGTCAATCATCCACATTTTTTCTAGAAAAACAATAATTTCAGTTCAATAACTCAAACAAAAACCGCAACATATTTTCTATATTTCGGATGAAAAAAAGCTCAGATACATAAAAAAAAATCTTCTTTGGAATCAAAAAATTATGCAAAAATGCGATTTTTGAGAGTTTTCAATTAAAAAAAAATACTTATTGGATAAATCTGATTTTTTAATTAAGAATTTGAGAATATCGTCTTTAAAACGCGAATTTTCATCCTAAAAATGAGATAACCCGGCTGAAACAACTAGCGAGCAGATTCTAAAAACTTCAAAAATGCCTAGATTGGCTATCCTTAACGTATCCAAAATTTTTTATTAAAATCTGGATATCAAGATTCCCATGTAAACTACAAAACTGATTTTTTTTCGGTTCACTCCTAGCAGGAAGTCTTTTCGCTAAGAAGCGAAGAACAAAAACCAGTTTCCATTTTTTTTTCTATTTCCGGAGCCCTTTCTTATCCCATCTTTTTTGAAAAGTTCAGTTCACACCTTTTCCGTGTCACTAACCATATATTTTCCCCATGAATAATTCCAAATAACCAAGTGGTGTTGCTCCTTATACACATCCACAACTTCTTCGAGAAAAGAACAAAACGATAGGGGTGGTGGAAAAGCTCCCCATCCACCCCTTTTTTGTTCCCTATTATTCTCGCTTTTTTGCACCCCATTCCTATCGCCCCAAATCCGTTGCTTCCTTCCTGTGTGCACTTTTCTTGCCCCGGTCATGAAACTTTTTCGTGTCCATGCTCTCACTCATAAAAAACACAGCGCCTAACTATAATTGAATTTGGGTAGAGGACATACAAGACTCCCATCCTAATCCGTTTTTAGCCAAAAAAAAACTTGGTAGGGGCTTGAGAAGAGACGGAAATTAGAATTGACGCGGCGCTCTGTGTTGCTTGGGACCTTCCCGCTTTTCCTACTAATTCGTTCGCTTTTGACTCAAACCTAGACGCCTACCAAAATTTCCTCATTGTGTACTACGTCTTTTCTCGTCTATTGAGACACACGATGAGCTTAGACCGGATGCTCTCGGAAGCAACAATAACGTCCAATCACACAGAGAAGAAAAGGATCCTTGGCGTCTAGGTCCTCCTTTTGTTGAGATTCTATAGCGATTAGTGTGTTCCGATGTTCTTTTAATTCTCTACTCCTTTTTCTTCATTTGGTATGTATTTTCAAGAACTTTGAATTTTCAGGGAATGAAACTTCAAAACTTTATACCCGATGTCATATTTTTAGGATGTCTGGCAGTGTTCACAAAAGCGGGTGAGGATGAAATATGAAATTTCAAACGGGATTTTAATGTTAAAGAATGAATTTCAGAACCATATCTAACCATCTGGAACTATGTTCACCACAAACGTTATGGATCTTTTCCTGAAGAAGTAAGACTTTTTTTTCTGAAAAAACTAAGTTTTATCAATTTTAAAATCTTCTTTTTTGAGGACCATATCAGTCTTGTCTACATGCTCGGTGGCAATTTCATGACCCGTCTCATGTTCATGCAACACTTCAAAAGTGTCTTGAGCTACTCAGATCACTACTTCCGATTGTATTTTATTGTGGACGATGATAACATGCAAGATGTTCAAGATCTTATGGCATCGTGGAATATTTCTAATTGTGAGTTTTTTTAAAGTTACAGTACCTACAAAAACGTACTTTTCCGTTGATTTCCGTTATTTTCAAGAGTATGGAGCTAGAATTTTGAGTTTCCTTTCGACTTGAGAAGTTTGGAGATTATAAAACAGATCTAGATTGAAAATTTCGAATTTTTCGAGAATTTCTAGTTTTCCAGCTAGTCACTAATTTCTAAAAGATACCTATTTTTCACATTTTTAGTACAAATACGGGCCAAAAAGGGGTATTTCAGAAATCGGCAATTAGCTGTAAACCTGAGAACTTTTAAAAAATTCTGATAAGGGAAAATTTCTAATCTAGGTCTGTTTTACACACACAGAAATTTCAAAGTGCTCGAAACTTTAAGAGCCGAGTGCTCCTGAAAATGGTCAATGTAGTCGAAAATCAACTAAAAATTATGATTTTTCAATATTTTAAAGACCGGTACTGTATATATTTTAAGCTATATAAAATTTTTAGGTGATTGGTTTTTCTACAATCTCACCGAGTATGAGGATCGCGTCAAATGGATTCCCAACTCTCATTATTCAAAGTACTACGGATTAAGCAAACTTTTGATTCCAGAAATTCTACCGGATACTTTGGGGAAGGTACAGTAGTCCTTTTTATTCTTAATGCTGAGAAACTTTTTTTTTCAGATAATGTTTGTGGATATTGACTTTGTATTCCGCACGGACATCTTCCATTTATGGCAAATGTTCCGGAATTTTGACCGAAATCAATCTTTGGGAATGACGGAGAATTTATCGGATTATTATTTGAACAAAAATGGAAAGAAGTCGGTTTGGACTGCAAGGGTGAGTAATATGTAGAAGAACATGAAAATTTAATTTATTTAAAAATAATAATAACGCATGCAAATAATAAATTAGCTAACTTGGCAAGTTATCCATATCCGCATCCACAGCATCCACATCCGCATGGGGCCATCGTTGCGCCTGGAGCCATTGTAGCACAAGTCACACCGCATCCACAGCAACCGCATCCGCATCCGCAACCGTAGTAGCGCTTAGCACGGATCACAACTCCGTTTGATTGTCCTTCAGACCCAATATCGTCCATTGCAGCGGCAATAGGAGTATCGTTGTCAATGACGGCAAGGCCAGTTTCTTCCGGTTGGGGTTCATCATTGTTAATTTGAGCCTGGAAATTTCAATTTTGAATTTAAAAAGTTTAATTGAATATGAAAAATTACCTTTTCCTCAACTGCCACAACTTTGCTTTCGGAATCCAAAAGTGATCCGAAGAGGTTGGCGTTGGCAGCGCAGAAAAGGAGAGCAAGAGAGATGATTGTCAAACGAAGCATGTTTGTTGTTGTCTGCACCATCGGCACCTTGCACTTTTATACCCTTCCAATACGTCACTTATTGTTTGAACATGTGTTGAATAGATAATTAGCATGCGCATATTGAGCCATTTTTTTGACGGGAATGTGTTTCAGGGACGTGGATTCAACACAGGGGTGATTATGATGGATTTGGATAGACTCAGAGACATGGATTTCAAAACCAAATGGAGAGCGGTGGCTAACAAATATTTGAGAATACATGGAAAAACTACCATGTCGGATCAGGTAGGCAAACATTGGGTTGTTATGGCATGAAGGAAAACAACCAATTTACATTTGATGCAGATCTGTGATTTATCGTGAAACTTGAAAAATGTATCAATTTACACATTTTTGATTTTTTGCGTAATAGCCAAAAAAATTGACATACTTGACAATGTTGGGGCTTTTCTATTTCAGCTTTTCCGGTAACCTGTATTTGAAATTCAAAAATTCGGGTGCTAAATTTTTGGAATATACACTTTTATAAGTTTTTATGGATGCTGCATCAAATGGCATTAGCTGTTTTTTGTATTCTAGAAGGTTTTTTGAAAACCTCAAAAAATGGGATTGGTGATATTATTATGACGCGCACTGTACATTAATAGGTTCACGGTTTCATTTTCTTTCAGGACATTTTCAACGCCTACCTCTACGAATATCCACAAGAAGTCAAAACCCTTCCATGCGCTTGGAACTATCAACTTGGAGTTCTATCGAAATCCGATAAGCTTTGTTTTGAAGAACCTCAAGCCCTGCATTTTAACTCGCAGAACAAAACGGTTAGAAAGAACTATCTGCTCTACAATGCCGTTCGGAAGGAGATTGATGGAATTGATGGAACAGAGCTACGCAAACGACGATCGCTGGTTTCCACACATCCAGCACCCAGCTCTCCAACACCTTCTAAAACCAACACATGTGAACAATTCCTACCATTACAAAACTTCCGAGTCCTCCCGAATGCTCTAGGAAAAATCAAAGAGAATCCAGAATTATGTCTGGTCACGCAATTTTCCAAGGATCGTCTCCACAGTTTTGTGAAAAACGCAAGGAAATGGAATCGCCCAATTTCTGCAGCAATTTACGGGAAGGATTCAGATTTGGTAATTGGTTTAATTTGAATCCAAATTTTCAAATTTCAAAAAAGAATTACAGGCTGAAATCGCTGATGTTATAAAAGCTCTAAACCGCTCAGATATTGCTATTCACATGGTGTTTGAGGAAGAATCGACGTATCCGATCAACTTTTTGAGAAACGTAGCTATTAACCATACTGAATGCGTGAATATGTTGCTGGCAGATGCTGATTTTATAATTTATGGAGGTAGAGGGATCTAGATTTTCAGAAAGGGTGATATTTGAGTTTCAGATTACAAAGAGCTGGAAGACCAGGCTAGAAACTTAACTGAGAAAGAGGTTTTGGTAATTCCTGCATTTGAAACTACAAATGCTTCGATGACAGATGTTTCTAAGTTCCCGCAAACCAAGAAAGATGTGGTTTTGTCGTTTTTCAATAAAACAGTGAGTGATTTTTGTCTTATCAATTAATTATCAAAGGTGTGACGGACCAATGAAAAATCGTTGAATTTTTCAATTTCACTGCAAAGCCTGTTATAGAAGAGTCCCCATAGTTCCTATTTTAAAGCGTTTCCTTCTGATTTTGGTAAAAAATAGACTATATTCACAAACCATTTATTTTTGTTTTGAATGTTATAGAGAAAATTTCATTAGTTTGCCATTTTCTCATATCTCTGTAATGTTCACTGGAAAATCACCATCTCTGGAGTCCTGTAAAATATTCCAGAAGTTTTCCGGTTTTCTGGAAAGTAAAAACTATACTAAACGTTGAAAGATATCAGTTTTACGACTTACATTATTCATTTCTCACTCCAAGCTGACGTGGTATGCCATTGATAACCAAAAAGTGTCAAAAATGCCAAAGTTTGCACTTAATTTAGAGTTGTGTTACTTTGAAAACGATCAACTCGCTTAGTTCGGTTTATACAAAGAAGTTGTCAATTGTAAAAATGAAGCTCTAGTTTTCTTCTGTATACTCTGGAATGTTTTGTCCAGCAGAGCTATTCTTGACAAATTTTATAGAACTCCGAATTTGACTACAGTAAGCACTCTAATGAAATGCCCCAAACTGTTGACTTTGAGCCAGTTTTTCTCCTTTCTTGTAAAAGATATCAGAAAATTGTCATTTGATAAAATACGTGTTATATTTCGATGCACCTTCCGTTAGTTAACTACTATTTGATATCTTCCACAGGAACCGAGATAAATAAGCTGAAAGTTGAGATGTAGGATGAACATTCTATTAGAGTGTTTACGGTATCGTTAACCTAACAGTTTGAAACATGATATTCTTATTAGCAATAAAAGTTACTTTAAAGGTAAAAATAATGTTAAACCCCTTGCGAATTTTTTTTACTTTACCGAAGACTATTTTGAAGGTGCAAATGTTCCGTGGGAAATCTTGGCCAAATGCACACAACGCAACAAATATCGTCGAGTGGATTGCAGCGGAACATGTCTATTCGGTATTTTATATGCAATGGTTCAACAAAACTTTTTATTCTCCAGGTCAACTACAACCGAAACTACGAACCCTATTTTATCATCAAGAAAACAAGTTTCCCAATGTATGATTTGCGTTTCGGCGGCTATGGATGGAATAAGGTGACCCACGTTTTGCACCTGCGCATGTTAAAGTAAGATACAATTCACGCTAACATATAAACTATACATTTTTCTCATTTTCAGCTTCAAGTTCCTGGTCTCCCCGTCCAGCTTCATGATTCATCAAGACCACACCATCTCTGAATCGCTTGTTCGTTGGCGTCAAGATTCTCACTATCAAAAGTGTCTTCACGACTTGAAATATCAGTTTCTCCGAGAAACTGCTACAATGCTTGGTTTTGAGCTACATGACTAGCCGCTTTCAATTTATGAAAGTCAATTTCTGACTATGAAACGAACGATTAGAGAATGTGTAACTGTCACCGGTTGTAGCTGAAATATTTTATTATTTTATACGTAGAAACCTATTTGTTTTTGTACTTGATTAACTGACATTTTCTGGATGTTAATCAAATATTGGTATCCAATAAAGATTAACTTTTCTGGGATAAATATCACATTTTTTCACTTCACAAGACTTTGTGAACCCAGAGTTCAACTCCAAGATAAATTGAAAATAGCCTATCTAAAAACCTCGAAAAAAAATTTAGAATCCGCTCGCCTGTTTCAGCCTAATTATATCAGTTATAAAACCAAAATTACGTTTTTAGTTCTAAAAAATAAACGATTTTCAAGAAACTTCCCAGAAATGGAAAAAATCAAAATTGAAAATTGCTGTTTTTGTAATGAAACGCGATTTTTCATACTGAAACTGTAATTTGGATGAAACTGGTAAGCGGATTCTAAAATTTTCAGAAGTGCCTAGTTATGTAGCCTGTTTCAAGATTTTTATCAAAATCTGGGTTTACAAGGTGTTGAGGTTCCCTTGTCTCACTCTTTAAGAAATTCCAATATTTGCATTTTGCCGTCTCCAGACAATTTTCTCTCTTCTTCTTCAAAGCACATAACGGCTACATATTATTGACACGGAAATTTGAGAGCAGGCGTTTCTCGATATTTCTTCCTCCATCTCCTTCTTTTTGATATCTCCTCATCACCAGTTCCGGTTGAAATATAGAACACACGCTCAAACACTTATCAATAGCATTTCAATTTTTTCCCTGCCGTCACACTTACATTTTCGATTTGAATATTCGTTCAGAAGTTGAACTTGGTAGCAGTCATTTTTTATGTATTTTTTTCTGGCTTATTACAGGTTTTGAATAAAAATTTGAAAAATATGTTCTGTTTATTTATTTTTCTTCTCCTTTCGTTTTTTTTTGTCTATCATGTACTGTAGCAGAAACCGATTCACACTTTTCTGGTGCTATGTCGTTTTTTCGCTCATGACAGCACACGCACGAGTCTTACTAACCGGATTTGCATACAAAATGGGGGAAACGGGGCCTAGAAGAGACTATTTTTGCGCAAATAAGAACGTTCCGTTCGCGATAGGAAACCCCCGATTCGTTTTTCCGAATCTATTCTCATCATTTTCAGTCGTGAAAAGTGACAATGATGTCTAGAACCAACGCCAGCACCACGACCACCACCGACTCTAGCAGCAGTGATTATGAACCATCGAATACTGAGGTACTGTAGTTTTTAAGGCGGAAAATTGACGAAAGTTTCAGGGTGATACTAGTAGCAGTGAAAACGAGTACAGAAAGGAGAAACGTCTTTTCTGGAGTGATGGATTGGTGGCAAAAAACTTGGAGGTAAGAATTGAGCCCTATATTTTTGAAAATGAAAAATTGGAATAATTTTAGTTGGAAATCCCCAGATTCAATACTGTAGAGTCCGGTTATCTAGCAGATGATGAGGTAATGATTTTAGATTTTCTTTTGTTCTAAAAAATTGAGTTGTAACTGTTTTTAGAGCGACACAGAGGAGAAACCAATAGAGAAAATGGAAGTGAAATTGAAAAAACGGTCCAACGAGATGTCCAAATCGAGTAGTCTCTTTTTGAGCGATTCTGACGGATTTGAGGAGCGAGCTGTTTTGTGAAAAAAAACAAATTGTAAATTTTTTGTGATTAAAAGTGTCCTGATAAATGTGTGAATGATTGCGGTAGATTTTTTCTGAGTATTTTTTCAACAGTGAAAACTTTATTCAAGTTTAGTTTAAAAATTCAACAGATGGAATTTAATAAAGAAGTATAAAATGATATTTGAAAAATAACAGTTTGAGATTTTGTTATACATTATTTAAGATCAGATTGTTTGCAGAAGTCCCTTGTCTTGCACCAGACTTCGCCGTCCTGAAATCAAAAAATTAAGAATTTTGAAATTGATTTAAATTTGAATCATCTTGAAAGTAGTCAATTTCGAGTGCCAAAAAATCTTCTTTAAGATTTTTTCCAATGCTTGAAAAGTTTATACTTTACTGAAAATTACATTTTATGCTTGAATGAAATTTTAGTCAGATTTTGTTCTAATGGGATGATAAATATTGAAAATGCCTAATTATGTCCAAAATCAGAATTGAACCAAAAATGTCAAAATTTCTCTGAAAATGATATTTGTGTACATAACTTCTAACGCGGTTATCCTATTTTAATTTTCAAAAAATCATCAATTTCGAAATTCTAATTCTAACTTTGTTCAGTATATTCTGAAATTATCAAAATAATTGAAAAAACCTGAACTAATTTTCCAAGTCTTCAAAATGTACTATTTTCCACCGAATAACCGTCCTTGCTTCGATAAAACCCAACCAGAGCCGTCAAATTTGGGTTCAAACATCTCAATTTCTAAGACAGATTGGAGAAATTTGTCAACTGGTAAATTGTTTATCAAAGTATTCCCAACATTTTGTCGGTTGACAAATGTTAGATATCTTCTACAGGAATCGAGATATTTCAACTCAAAGTTAAATCTATCATGAAAACCTGCGTGAATGCAATAGCAAATCTAATCAGGATCTCCCAAATATTTCAAAAAAAAGTGTTCTCTCACATCGCACATGCATTCGATGCAAATATCATTCGCATGACTCCATCTATCTCCACTCTTCTGTTTCTTTCCCTCATCATGACAGCTCTTCTTGGGATGATGTCGTCTCTTCCGCCGTTTTGCCTTCTCATCGCCACCAATCGCATTTCGCGCCAAACTTGAACTCGATGAGCACATCGCATCGCAGCACGTAGTCCACATGTTCAAATTGATTTCCGGCAGCGCATCGCAGCTCTCATAGAATTGTGTGCTGTTTCCGTGATAGACAAAAATGTCGCGCTAGAAAAAATTGTGTGATGACGTGCGATGGAATTTTCGGAAATTTGAAAAAACCTGAATTCTATCAATGTCGTCACCGTTTGTGCATATGATCTTTGACAGTGTCACTTTTTTGATTTGTCGGAGTTGAGTCTTTGAAAACATCTCGTCGTTCTCATACCAGAACCTATCACCATCTCTCAGACGTTTGAATTGGTCGGCAATGATGCAAGCAAGTGTCGGACCCATCAAAGCGTCGGCAGTCCGTTTCTCGGTGACTCCACCGACCCAAAGATCAATGTTCTCTGCAGAGAAAAAAGATAAAAATAACTCGTGTGGTCAGTGATCGGAAAGAATTATTTATGCAATTTTATGATTTTTGAAAATCATAAAAAGTCACGGGGGAATTGACTTTCAAAACACACCAACCTGGAACTCCATATAGCGATTGTAACTTGGCGATGACGGTATCATTCTGCACGATGTTTTTCATATCGGCCCAGGTTTTGGGGACAGTAAGGTTACAGAATTTTCGGTACTCTGTCCAAGTGGGGAGACCATGGTCACGTCCTCTTTGGATGTTCAAGGCGGCTAAGTCAAGAGCAACCTGAAATATCAAAATAGGGTTTTCTGGTTTCCAGATTTTTTTTATCCAACCTCATGATATCGATTGAACAACTTCTCGGTCAACTCCTTGTTCAAAACTTGGTCCGGTCTGGGAAGTTTGATTGGAGCTGCGAACAATCCACGCAACAATGGATCTACACCACCTTCAGACACTAGTCTCTCAGGGGCGAAGAACGCCTGAAAGAAAATACTTAAAATAATTATATGCCGTATCAAATTTGAAAAGAAGCCCAACGGTCAAATTTCGCTCAATTATTCCAATTACTGAGAAATATTTCAAACTTTTGCCAACTGACAGATTATTTATCATGATATCACCCATACTTAATTACTTGGCGTAATTTCAATATCTTTCACAGGAATCGAGATAATCGAGCTTAAAGTTGAGAGTTTGAGTGAGCTTATGTTAAATGAAATATGTTATGTTGCTACAGTTATCACCCACATTATGTAATGGCAAATGTCCCTCCTTGGTTTCCTTGAAATCCTTATCGAAACGAAATAGATGGGTGTTAATGAGAGTGTGAGCGAATCTTAGGGCAGCAGTGGCAAACTCGTTGGCTATAGTTGGGTTTGTTTCTGGATTGTATCCTTTGTATTCTCCAATGATTGTGTCATATGTTGCCTTTCCAAGAATTTTAGGAAGCCAGTCGTTGTAGGTGATATGTTGGAGCATGGCGCCAATAATTTTTCGGGTTTCTGGAAATGCACAGTAATTTGACTAGCAATTTATTGTATTTGTTCTAATAGAATCCCGTGCTCGTTGATCTCTATTATCTCGGTTCTTTCAAAAGAAATCAAAACGATTTCAGCTGATAGGTTATTGACCGTAATATTACCAACATTTTTAAGTTAGCAATTTTTTGATATCTCTCACAGGGGAATATTACAAAATGGGACATTAGAACTTAAACGGTATCCGTGATAAATTCACCTTGGAAAATCGTCTCCCCATCCCAATTCTCATTAACCTCCAACAATTTTGAAGCGATTCGATTGTGTTCTCTCAGGAAGATGGTATGCATGCTCATGAGGCCCAGCTGCAAGAAGAAGATTTTGTGACCCCCTGCGATTACATCACCGCCACCACCAACCTGCTCATTTGCTCTTATATCTCCGGCGAGGAAACACTTAATTGGATTCTCGCGGGAGTAATTACGACGGCAATCCATGTCGGAATCTTTTTCAAATGGCATGTACGGTTTGTTAGCACTGCAAAGTGAGTCTGTTGCGTCAAAGAAAACGTCACCTGCTTCTTTATCGGTATACGATCTAGTGTGTACTTAATGGACTAACCTGGAGACAATATCGAACCGTAGCAATCCGTGGTCACTGTACAAATCTCTCAACTCTAATGCTTGTTCCTCACTGTTTCCGTAGATTCCCGAGGCGTCGAGATAGGAAGTCAAAAGATTCAGTTGGTCCCGATAAGTGACTCTTTGGAAAATAGGCGACGTTTCTCCACTTCCGCAGGCTGCTCCATTTCTCTCAAATTCCATGCAAGGATGTTTTTGGTAAAGTCCGGTGTGAAGTTTTGGGTCGTCGGCTTCTAATTGAATGTTGAAGCAGGGGTCCGCATTTTCACATGTTCTGTTACAAAATGCGCCTTCTTTATAACTATGGCGGGTTAGGGCAGGAGCAGTCAATGTGAGATCGTGGTCTGTAAAATAGATTTTTGAGAATTTTGTGAGGTCGGGGTTTTCAAGATGGCCTTTACGAAATTTCTGGAATGTTTTGAATATTGAGTTTAAAAATTTCGAGATTTAAGAATATTCTAACTTTCGCAAATATCGAAAAATTACAATTTTTTAAAATTTTCGATACTTTCGAAAGTCGGAAACTTCAGAATTGTGCAATTTTCAAAATTTTGGAATTTAGGAATATTTGAAATTTTATAGTATTCCGATTTTTAAAATTTTAAACTTTCGGAGATTTGAAATTTCACGATAATTCAATTTCCGTAATTTCCGAAAGTCGGAATTGTCAAAATTGAGCAATATTCCGATTTTTAAATATATGGAGTTTCGGAATTTTGGAATCTTCAGAATACTCCCATTTTCAAATTTTCAAAATTTTGTAATCTTCCGAATATTCCGATTTTCAAAATTCAAGGAATTCCTGAATCTTCATAATATTGCAATAAATCGGTTTTTTTACGGAAACTTGTAATCTTCATAATTTGGCAATATTCCGATTTTTGAAAATTCGGAAATTCGAAATCTTCGTAATTTTGCAGTATTCTGATTTTCTAAATATTGAACATTTCGAAAATTCGGTATTTTGGAATATTCCGATTTTAAAAATTTCGGATGTTCGGAATCTTGCAAATCTTTTGATTTTCAGAATTTCAGAGTCTCTGGAATTTCAGAATCTTTGGAATTTTTCAAAATTCAAATTTTGAAGTAGGAACCCCATTTTCTTATCACTAAAGTGCCTCAAATTCCAAAAAAGAAGTGGATAAAAATATTCTCATCGGAAATTCATTTCAAAAAAAATCTTTGGAGATATTTTTGTCAGAATTGCAAAATCCGTTCAGAACATCCCTAGTCTCATGTTACTATACACAATGAGGATTATAAATAACACCTGTATCCCCTTACCAATGAATTGTCCCCATTGCATAGTCATCGCACTCAAGTGACTATGTGGTGTGGTCTCGTCCGTACCAATAAGTACTCTTGACACTTTTCTAGCGTTTGGCACTTGGTATCCGTTATACATCTTTCCTTTTTCCCAACCAACTGGTGTATTGAATCCGTTCTCATATCGTGGAGGCAATAATCGAAGGAACGCCATCTCGGATACTCCCCACCACGGATTCTCCTGATTATTGCACTGCCCATCATACGATCTGTACTTGGAAAAGAAGCAGTAATCCTCACAGCTTTCAGCAAATTGGCCAGTTTGACATCCCGACTTTTCCATCAGAGTTTGAACATAGGAAACTGGTAGAACAGCTTCATAGGACACATTTGGAGAGATCATTTTGGCTTCGAATGCAAGTCCTGGAACAGAAGTTTGGATTTAATAAAATTAGATGTTTCTATTTTTACCATTGTCAATATGCATCTGAACTAGTCTAATACTTTCTTCGTAAATCTCTCTGGCTTTTCCCAAATCCACTTTTTTGAGATTGATCGCAAACTTGAAAAGTTTTCTGAGATCGTGTGGACTCTCAATTTTATCCATTTTCCTTTGATCTTTGGTAGAAGCCAATGCACTGAAAAATCAATTTTTTTCAAATTATCTCGGTCCCTAAAACGCTCACTTCTCCACTTTCTGCTTCGCTTCCTTGGCAATTTTTTCGATTGTTGAGTCATCAAGAAGTTTATCAACCTTCTCCGTCAGTTCGGCGCCAACCAGTAAGTTGGCAGTGGCCACCGCAGAACCAACACTGTTGACTGCTTGACACGTGAATACTCCTGAATCGTGGCGTGTGACTTTTTCAATTGTGAGTTCGATGTTGTTGTCGGAGATCTGAGAATATTTATTTTCATGAGTCAAAGGCGTTTAATGCTTAGGGAGGAAGGGTCTTACCGTATATCTAGTGTTTCTTCTTGGGATACGAGTTCCTTCAAACAGCCAAACCACATCTGGAGTTGGGAATCCTTTAGCATTACAGCGGAAGGTGACTTGTTGTCCGATGGTTGCGTTTGTGTTCATAGGAGCATCAACAATGACCGGTTGCTCACTGCAATTGTTTATAAGCATTTTCAGTAGCGTTCAATTAGTGTCAATTAGATACACAGTATTGTAATTTTCCGTTGATTTTCTGTGATTTTTTACCATTTTCAGGAGTTTGGAGCTCGTATGTTAAGTTTTCTACCATTTTTATCATTTTAAAGGGTGTAAAACAGAACTAGATTAAAAAATTTGACTTTACAGAATTATTTGAAAACTCCTAATTTTTCAGCTATTTGCCGATTTCTGAAAGACACCTGCTTTTTCACATTTTCTGAACAAAAACGAGCCAAAAAGAAATTTTTTTTAGAAATCGGAAAATAGCTGAAAAACTGACAAATTTCAAAAAATTCTGGGCATTTCAACTTTTCATTCTTGTTCCGTTTAGCATTTTTCGAAATTTTAAAACTGATCCTCAGCTGAAAAATACTTTTTTGTATATTTTATGCTGTATAAACTTATGAGCTTCAACCATTCTCATGACACTTGCCTCTCTTTCAACGACACCGTAAACATGTGCGCTTCCGATTCCTCGTCATTCGTCGCAATACATTTATACTGGCCAACATCGGTATTCAAAAACGGGAAAATTTTCAGAACCGACCCATTCTTTGAGAACTTGTGCTTCCGAGACTCCACTAACTTCTAAAAAACGCGAATTCAAAAAATGTTAGAATACATATCCAAAAAAAAAAGCGGCACAGTACCTCATTTCCAAACATCCAAGACATCACTGGCATTGGGTCTCCTTCAGCTTCACACATCAGTTCCGAAGTTTCGCCATCTCGAGAAGAAGTGTCTGCTTGTCTGTGGATAAACATGGATTGATGATCTGCTTCTGGCATTTCAGTGGTGACAAGCATCTTCTCAGTAGTCGTCATTTGTTCCATTGTAGTCGTTGTGGTCTCCATTGTAGTCGTTGTCTCCATAGTTGTAGAAGTCTCCATGGTTGTAGATTCCGTGGTACCTGCTTGAGCCTTCTTCAACGAATGGATTGACTGTTTTTGTCTGTGGAATGCGCATTGATAATTTCTAGTAAATGGTCCATTAGAGAGCAGAGACCCATCTTTGTCACGAGCAAAATGTGCAGTGTGTCGGGCTTCCTTGTTGCTGAAAAAGCAAAATTAAGAATTTCGTTCTAACGCTCTAACTTACTTCTCCAGAAAGACGGAATCATAGTGGTAGGGTTCCATTTCATTATTTGGACAGCTCATTTTAAACATCCCATCGTCAGTTTTACTAAACTCGGGTTTGGTGCATTTGAAGTCTTCCAATTCAAGCTGAAAATCGATTATTTGTTTTGCAACTTGATATTGTATAACTTACATTTTTAAAAACTTGATTGCGAAGATCCTTTGGGAAGAAACATTTTCCAATTACAAACGTGTTCCGATTTGAATAAGCCAAAAGAGCGTTAGCCATTGTTTTGAGTTGTATAAGTCTGAAAAGATCGTTTTTATGTACAAAATTGTGTGAAGGTTAACCACCTGCAGTCACAACTCCATGGATTTCCAGCCATTTTCACAGTTTTCAGCGTAGGGACCATTCGATTGGTAAAGAAGTCATGAGATAAAGTTTGAACACGGTTTCTTTGAAGGGAGAAGGTTTGGAGGTATGGGCTGTTGGACATTAACTTCAAAACATGGCATAAATTAAATTCCTGGATAACAAAAAAGTGAAACTCACGTCATCATCCAGTTTTGAAATGTCATTATGTGCCAGATTCAAGCTCACCAGAGCGTTAGGAGACGTGGAGAGTTTTGGAACGATTTTCACTTTGTTCCATGATAAATCGAGATACTTTAGGCCGGGAAAACCATCAATCACTGTCTAAATAAAAAATAAGTGGACAACCTTGAAGATTAAAAAACCTCTTCAACAGTTCTGATAGTGTTGTTTGATACATCAAGATACTGTAGATTTGGGAGACTATGGAAATCAGATTTCCTCAAGGAACTCAATAAGTTGTTGGAAAAATAGAGATTAGTGGTTGCAATAGGAATGTGTGATGGAATTGTTGTTAAACCTGAAAGATATCAGGATTACGGTATTAGAGAATATATTTACTTTTTCCTTCGCAATGAACATCTAATCCAGAGCACTGACATTCTGAAGGGCAGGCGATGGTGAACGGTAATAATACCAGAATCAAGGATGCTAAGCGCATACCTGAAAAATTTCAAATTGAAGTTTTAATTTGAAAGCAATCGAGACAAAAATAACTAAAATAAATTTTCAAAAATGGCTATTTGTATAAAATGAGAAAAAAACCCCATATGTTTTTTAAATAATTGCATCACTATTATCTTCTTTTATTCCAACAAAACTAAATTAATGAGCCAAGGACTAGAGTAATAGAATGGCTCAAAGACCGAATGAGCCCGAATGAGCTACTAGAGCACACCACAGGAGGGACCGTCATCGGCTCGGATCAAAAGATAAGGACCGCGAAGAAGAGAAAAAAGACCGACAAAAAGTAGACAGCCGCTACTACACAGCCACTGAAGACACCAGATGCCCCTCGCGCGGCCATATCAATTTTCTCTTTTGTCTCCTTCGTCTTTACTGCTTCCCATATTACTCTCATAGGTTTTTTCTACGTTTAACCTTTCCGTTCCGCCCATATCATATCATGTTGAACTGTTGCAAGAGAGATGAAGAATAAGAGACTATTTAGGTCTTGATTGATTGATTCCGTGCGCTAATTCAACGGTTAGGGTCGCCCGTCTGCTAGGGCAAGGGTGTAATATTACAATATCCAGTGATCCTCTAGGGTAATATCCGATATGGAAAGTGCCCCTAATTGCGTAATCGCATTGAGTCATCGACAAATGTTGGCCAGACACCCCTTTGGTGCTCGGCGGGTGGTCTCTGGGAGTTTTATGGTGGTGGGCAAGGAGAGCAACTGCCCAGATATCATATGGTGGCTTAAACCGTAAAACCACTTCCACGTCACTCGAGCAGAGCAGAGAGTGGCATTTGAATCTTTCGCGCTAAGTTGTTATTCTGTACGATACCGGATATAATTGTTGTTTATGTGTCCGGACGGCTGGTACCAGCGTATACCGAACCAACAGGTAATTACTGTAGTCTGTCCATTGTTTAGGATGTTTACCGAATTGGAAATAGTTTGAAAGCTATTAAAAGGATTTTAGACAAGTGCGCAGCTTTTTTTACAAGATATCTTTTTTGAATTTTCGATTTTTCCATTTTTCAAAAATGGGTTGCTTTCGTAAAACCTGTAAGAGAAGTGTCTCTTGACTTTTAAATTTGAACCTTATATCTCGGTTTCTGTTATATGTATCAAAAAACTGTCAACTGATGAAATGTTTTTCAGGATTTTGCCAACATTTTATTAGTTGACAATTTTTAGATATCTTTAACAGGAACGGGGATAAGAAAGCTCAAACTTGACGTTTTTCTATAAGGAGATACGGTATTGGTTTTTCGACTGGTTTGCTCATCAGATTTGAAGTTTTTTTTCGAACTTCATTTTTAGAATTGTTAAAGTTTTCTAGAAGTTCCTTTCATCTTTAAAAATTTAAAGTAACATTAATTATTTTACCGCATGATCTCTGATAGGAGATCACCCAAACTGTCTACTTTAAGCTCAATTATCAATAATTATAGCGTAATTTTGCCAACAGATAAAATGTCTGTGATATCATGGTTCATAATATGTCAGTTGATGAATTTATCATATCTCTCATAATAATCGAGGTAAATGAAATTAAAGTTGAGAGTTAAGGATGGCTTCTCTTATCGGAGAAACTGTAAAACTTTTCTCGATTTTTTGTGTGATTCAGATTACTGTATATTTGAGTTCATTGTCTTTGAATATCAGTCAAAATCTAATATTTTTGCTCACTTGAAATTTTTTACATCTATTATTATTTTCGATCATTAAACTTCAAATAATCAGCTCAAAAATCATGTGAAAGTCATTGCTCATTGCAATTTATTACTGTTTTGAAAATATTGTGTGCAGTTTTCAATTGTTTACAGTGATTACGCAATTTCCGGAAAACGTTATCAATACTAGTGATCAACATTTTTTAAGATTCCGACCGGCTTACTCCACCTAAAACCGTTTTCTACTATCAGAGTAATTAATATTGTCTCTAACCATCCTTCCGGTGGTCTTTTCGGTTTTCAATCAAAAGGAATTTTTGTTTTAATTTCACATCTTTCTTCGAACTAATTGCAAAATAATCTGATAAAGTTTCTGGCGCCATCGTAACCCGCCTTACGGCGAATTTTCCCTTTCCAAGAAGACACGAGCCTCGGGGGTTAATGAATGAACGGTATGCAACGATGTTGTTGTTATTCTGTGCGCCATATCGCGCTCCGGCATATGACCCTCATCCGTTTTCAACGGCCTTTCTTTTCTCCCCCACTCTTCTTCCTGTATATTCTATTGTTCTTGCATAGAAACACACCAGCCGTTCCATGTATTATCGGTCATACTCCCCTCTTTCTCTCTGTCCTCTCCCAATGTCTGCGTCTCTCCTAGGTCCTCGTACAGTGCTCCATCTTCTCTGCCCTCTCATCTCGGTGTCATTGTGTTCCCGCAACCCTCTCGTCCTCCCCCCGCCGTCTGCCTCCATCTATCTATTCAAACGGTTTTTGTTTTCGTCGGATTAGTGCATTCGGTTAGTGGCAGCTAGGTTGTCATTATTTTGTTACGGTGCTACCCTCTTCTTCCCGCAGGAAGAACATGAGTCAGTGTGATTTTTTTTTAATTTTAAATATTTTTGGAACAGCTGTTTCTAGGCTAGGGACTCGTAGCGCTTGACAAATGATCCTAATATTTTATTGCTTCGGAAGATCGAACGATGACTGTGTAGAAAAACTAATTGAAAACTCTCTGATCGCAGCTTATCCAATGACTCATATTCACAATTTATGTAAAAAATTGTAAAAATAGTCTGAAAAAAGATGAGATTCAGTACTAGTGATCAACATTTTTTAAGATTCCTACCGGCTTACTCCACCAAAAACCGTTTTCTACTATCAGTGTAATTAATATTGTCTCTAACCATCCTTCCGGTGGTCTTTTCGGTTTTCAATCAAAAGGAATTTTTGTTTTAATTTCACATCTTTTTTCGAACTAATTGCAAAATAATCTGGTAAAGTTTCTGGCGCCATCGTAACCTTTCTGGTGCCATCGTAAAGTTTCTGGCGCCATCGAAAAAAGAAGATGCATTTTTCACGAAACTTCTTCATGGTGGATTCAACCTAATTTAAGCTGCGATCATTCAAATTTGGTCCCTATCATATTTTAATTTTGAAATTAAAGTTCCAATTTCACTAATTTTTCCAGCATGATTAATACCCCTAATTTTTAAGACTAAGCCTTTCCTAAGAACATCCCTTCTTTTTGCTTATCTTATCACAACTATTTCGCAAGGTTCTGGGCTATTATTGATAACTTTGTACTATCTCCGTCCAATAATCGAGAGATAAGATATCTTATATATACAATTCAATTTCAAACTTTCTATACAGCCAGAAAACCTCACTTTTTCCTTTTTGCTATGTCCCATCCTCCCCGGAACTCCCCGGTCTTACAGGGCATGTTTAATCAGGATTTGTGGTGTCTTGACCTTTTTTATTTACTTTACCCCACCCCCTAACACATACTTGTATGATCCAGGTGTTTGTTTGACCATTACTATGTACAGCTTTACCCCTTTCTTAGCCTTATCTAGTTCCTCATTTCCTGCTGCTTCTGCTCTAATAATAACGGGTCCAGAGGGTCGATGGGTTCACGCCGTCAGCTGTCAGATGTTGCGCGCGTGGTGGGGTGGCTCTTAATTATATGTGTACGGTCCGTTGGGAACGGACCACCTGCCTTTACAAAAGCATGGTCTGAATGGCATTCCAAACAGAAAGAATAAGTCAGAAAACACATAAATACGCCCTCTTCTTCTGCTTCTTACATTTTGTGGAGCTTGCTGACTCATCAAATGGTATTTATCAATGCGTGTGATGTTTGTATAATGTTATTTTCCCCAGTTTCTACTATCACTGCGTTCTACAACTCCTGCGTACTATTCCTGTTTCATTCTTCCTTTCTTTTCTCACTCATTTTACTCTTTTCTCTCTTCCTCTAACAGTTTTGAAACTGTAGGAAGAGACACAGGAATCAATATGTTCTAGGAGATTTTCACCCCCGTGGAGTAGCGATGCGTCATCTCCCATTCTCCAGTATTCACGCAAATACCCGCTTTCAATTTTATTATTGTTGTCACCCCGCATTCCTTTCACGCCATTTTCCCGAAATTAAAATCAAATCGTGTTACAGACCCACTCTGGCTGATGAAACTGCATTGAGAAGGACCACACATTACGGAATGAGAGTACTGCTTGGTGTACTGTACTTGGTTACGGCCAATTTTGCATATCAAGCGCCAACAATTGATGTAGAGGAACATTTAGTACAGGTTGGTGTAATTCTTATAAGGAAAATTCTGGAATATAAAGAAAAAAGCGAAAATCGGCTAGAACTTTTGTTTCTTGGAATTTTTGGTCCTTATTTCGGTCCTCAAAATTAATGGTTCTACAAGTTATGATGGTTCCTGAAATTGTTGAGATCAGAAAATCTACTAGACTATTTTTTTTTGTCTTCCAAAAATTAAGGATCGGATTTCTAAAAACCAAAAAAACTAAGGACTGGAACAAAAAACAAAACGAAGTCTGGAGAGTCAAAAATCAAATTTTGCGTTATGAACGATTTCCAATTCTTACCGAATTCCAGAAACATGCTAGCATCGGCCGATTTATTGAGTTGAAAGAACACGACACACTTATTCTGAAATGCCATGGTCGCTTTGGTATGTTTTCTCCCTCTCAAAATTGCTCCAATACCCTCTTCTTTTCAGATGACCTCACATTCAAATTTCCCAGCATGGATGGCCACTTTGGATTCGACCCGATCGCGTTTCAAAACCGAGTTGAGGAAGAAATCGACGACGGATTTGGAGACACCGTCCTAACTATCACCGACGTCAGAGAATCTGACACCGGCACGTATTCATGCGTCTCCGAGGAACATTCATCGTTAAATGACACAATCCATGTGTTTGTTCACGGCGCCCAAGTTTTCCTTCCGCTTACTTCGGTGATGTTTCGATACACAGAAGGCGACGACATCATTGTGCCATGTAAAACGACAAAGTTTGTTGAGAAAAACGATATTGAGTTGTATGCCAATGATGCGCTTATCAAGTCGGCTAGTAAGAATTTCGATCAACGGTGAGACTCTAATTAACTATAAAAATTTTAATTAAAACTCATTTCGTTTTTTCAGCGTTGGATACCAAATCACCAAGAAACTGTATGATATGAAATCCATCGACGTGGTCACCTTCACATGTAAACACAAAAATGAGCCCAAACAAGAAGTCGATTACACCATTTCTGTGAAGGAGAACGACGATTTGGACAACGATTTCAAATTTTACTGGGATAAGGGATTCGATTGGCCACACGTGGGATACAACTACTCTCAGACTTGTCATCTTGTGCACAATGGAACAAAGGAGTTCGCTCCTTTCTATCATGAGCTACATATCGAGTGTGATGAATGCTCCAATACAATGGGAAGTCATGTTTTTGTTGAGAGACATCGCTTAAGCGGAAATCAAATCTCCACGACCTTCCGTATTGAGCACTTGGAGCTTGAAGACACTGCAACCTATAAATGTGTTTGGAACTTTGACAAGAAACTTTTCAAAACTATCGATTACGAGTTGCATGTTGCTCCAACAAGACCTCAAATCAAGTTGATCGAGAGAAGCCCACAAATTCTACGAGTCAAAGAAGTAAAACAGACTAGCCTGTCAGCAAAATTCGCTGTTTATCCACTGGATGGAGAGAGCTACACAGCAACATGGAGTAGAACATACAACTCGTCCATTAAAGTCGGACCACAAAGTGAAACAATCATCACTGACGAGCTTCGGACCGTTTCTGCAAAGAATTTTGGAAATGGAGTGTTCTCTGAAACTCTGGACTTAAAAAGTGGAGCGATGACGACAAGCATGAGTGGAACGTGAGTGTTCATCTTTTTAATTAACAAAAATTGACCAATAATATTTTAGGTACCGCCTGTCTATCTCACACATGAATACCAGTCAGAGCGTGCAATGGGAGGTTGCAATTGAAAACGAGCAGCCAGATGTGCAAATTACGGTCCGTGAACCGTCTTCGTTTATTGTTTTCAACCAGCAATTTTATCCACCTGACACCCACCTCCACATTGATTGTGTCTCCATTTCGATACCTCCAGCAGATGTTACATTCGAGCGGAAGAATAGAGAAAGTGGCGATTTCGAGGAGATTGATCGGGAATTATTGATGAGTGTTGGAGGAAATTTCGAGAGAGGATTCATTTGGAACACGACCCTATATGACGATACAGAACTCAGATGTACGAGCACCCGGAATGGAAATGTGAGCTTTTATGGTCCGGAATCTTAGCAATTGTTTCTCTTTTTTAGAAGTACACTGCCATCAAATCCATCATTGTCGCCGACGAAGCTTTCACAGTCTTCTCTGCCATCGAGAAGAGCGACAAAGCTACATCATTGGAACTTCCAAATGTAATCTACGAGGGAGACAATGTGAAATTAACCTGTGTCGTACCAAATGGAGCAGCTGATTGGAATGTGTCTTGGAGATTCAAAAACAACGATTTGGAATCGTCGGATACAGAAGTTAAAGGACATTCAAAGCTTGTGGTGCTCGATTTGAAGTGAGTTTTATTGTAAGTTTGAAGGTTGAGGTAAAAAGCGAAAAACTCGATTATGAAGAACTGAACCAAACATTCATTCACATCAAATTCCGGGTTGGGCCGAGCCTGGTTGAAAAAACTCCTCATGACCGGCCCAACTCAGTCGGTTTGGACAGCTAATTAAAAAAAAGAAAAAATTCATCGAATTTCACCGAAAAAAATGTTTCTGAGTTATTCCGTCCTTACGAAAGTATCGGAACTATGAAACTTTTTAAAATTTAAATTAAAATTTCAAAATTTAAAACTTATAGAATTTGACCCGGGCCATGCCGAGTCGAACAGTTTTTCATTTTGGCCCGTCTCGGCTCAAAACTATGATTTTCTTTTAGTTCGACCAATAAACATTACAGAGACATCACACCAAGCTCCAGTGGAAAATACCAATGTGTTGTCAAGAAGGGCGAATCCGAAGAGTTCCAAGAAATCGTGCTTAAAGTGGAAAGCATTTCCAAACCATATCACACGGACGCTGAATCTCGTTCAACGGTTACTGTCAACTACGACGAAACGTTTGTTATCGATTGTGGAATGACTGGAAATCCACTTCCGGATGTAAAATGGTTCAAAGATGGACATCCATATACTAGTGGTGATATGGAAGGGAGTATTCTCAAAGTGAGCAGAGCTCGTGCTGAGGATGATGGACAATTCCAGTGTTTAGCTGTGAACCGTGCTGGACTCACCAGCAATTTCATCGAGGTTCAAGTCGACAACGTCCCTGAACGATCTTCATTCTTCTACTGGTTCTTAACAATCCTCGTCCTCGCTGCCATCATTCTAATTTGTTATCTTTTCTACAAACTCCGAGCCAACAAGAAGATCACTAAACAGAAAGACATGTGAGTCACTCGAGATAGTTCTATAAACCATATCAAATCGTTTTTCAGACAACTAAACATGTTATACCTCATGAAGCAGAACGATCCGGGACCACTGCCTGAGAATCTGAAACTGCTTCCCATTGAAGAACGCGCCGACTATCTTCGGTATCCCGAAGAATTTGAAATTGCCAGAGAAAATTTGGAAATTTGTGAGAAAATCGGCTCTGGAATGTTTGGATTTGTCAATAAGGGATATTTGTCAATGGCAGATCCTAAAAGTCAAATCGAGTACAAAACACGTCTTCCAGTTGCTATTAAAAGTACAAAAAAATCATTTGACATGGAGCTTCAGACAATGTTGTTCGAAGAGTTGAAAATCATGTGTGCCATTGAGAAACATCCCAATGTAATTTCTCTTATCGGTGCTGTCACGACTAACATGAGAAAGTGAGAGCCTCTCTCGTTCTGAACATAATTTTCAAATCCAATTGTTTTTCAGAGGAGAGTTCTATCTTGTCACCGAATACGCTGATAATGGGGATCTTCTGAACTACTTGCGAAAACACAGAGAGACATTTCACAATACGCTAATCGACATGGGAGAGCCAGTCATAGATGAAAACTATTTGGTGCCGAATAGCATTAAAAAGAAGAAGTACCTGTTTGATGATCAACAAACCGAATCTACCCGACTCCTTCCCTCTGGTGACCACTTGTCCACATCGGATCTTCTGTCTTTTGCACTTCAAATTGCAAATGGAATGGAGTTTTTGGCGGCTGTACCGGTAAGAATTTTAATAATTTTGACGTCATCAAACTCATCAATTTCAGTGTGTCCATCGAGATTTAGCTGCACGAAATGTATTGTCACATCCTCAAAAATCTGCAGAATTGCCGATTTTGGACTTGCCAAACGTTACACAGATAAAAATTACTATAGGTATGATCCTTTCAAATTTCCAACAAACAACTTGAACAAAAATGTTTCAGAATCAAAAATGGCAAACAAGTTACTCTTCCCGTCCGTTGGATGGCTCCGGAGTCTGTACAAACGTATAAATTCACTGAAAAGACTGATGTTTGGTCGTATGGTATCACGCTTTATGAAATTTTCACGTTGGGTAACCGACCGTATGCTCAAGTCCCAAATGAACAACTCGAAGAATTTTTGCGAAGTGGAATGCGGAACGAACAACCGGAATACTGTCATGACGATCTGTAAGTTTTTTAATACTAGTGTTCAATTGATTTTCGTCAAGATGAACTTGAAATTGATAAGGTTCTGTCCCTAAATTAACATTTTTGGCATTATACCTAAAACCAGGAAATCAATTTTTAATTGTTTCTCATTTTGGCCCCAAATTTTGTCAAAAAAATTTTGTTTGCCTTTTTATTATCAAGTAGAAAACAAATCTAATTTTGAGGTACGCACTTATGAAAAACTGTTGGCACAAATCCCCGGATGTTCGTCCAAACTTCAACACATGTGTCCACTACCTAAAGGCGCACCTGAAGGAATGTGCTGGCGAGGTAAGATTTTTTGCTCATTTTATTAGAAAAAACTTTGCGGTTTGCAACTCCTACAATTTTGATTTCCAGCTCCTCAACCGTGTCGACGGCCAACTTCACTTGGAGCTTGAAGAGCAGTACAAACTAGAAGAATGGCTGATGAAAAATCGCCCAGACATTCAAGGAGGAACATTCACCAGAAAGCCAAAAAATAATGAAGAAGAAGAAGCACCTACCGAACGATATCTCATTGTGGAAAGTTCCACTTGATTTTTATTATGGTCCAACCAGCTTTTTTACTCATGCCAGTACAAGATACTCTTGTCGACTACATGTATTTATGTGTTTCCTGTCGTTTTTTGAACATTTTCTACTGCCTCCTTCCCCACGCTAATTTTTTTTTAATTTTCAAATTTTTAAAATACCCTTTAAAACCAAAGATTTTTCTACCCCTCACACTGTACGGTTTCTGTTAATAGTCAATCAAAAAACAATCACCCGGTTCCAATTTTTTCTTCCTCGCCTGATTCCTTTTTGTACATTTCTACTTGAGTTTTTATGTAATAAATTAAATTATTGAAATTTTATGAGTTTTCTAAAATTGAGTCTAGAAATAAGTTCCAACAAGAAGCTGGAGACATGAAGTAGGTCAGATAGACGTTCGGGAAACTCTGACAAACTCTGAAGTCTCTACCTGCAAAAATCACTGAAACTCGAGAAAAATCGATCTGAAATTATAGCATTTCCACAAGTCTCATCGCCTCTCTTCTCCTCCCCTTTCTTCACTGCGTTGCGTGCAAGAGTAAAACATGTCTCGGTAGCCTAGTGGCCAGCAGGGAGGACCACGAATGCACACATGCAGGTTCGGGTCCTCGTTCTTTTATTTTTATTTTTTTTATTTTTTCAAACTTAAAAAGCCGTTTTCGAAAGGTTTGGCAAATGGGAAACTTTTATGAACATTTTCAATGATTTTCGAAGAATTTCAAAAAAAAAAATTTTGAAAAAAATCGCCATGGAGTCCTACCACACTTTTTTCATGAATTCTGAAAATTTTTTCAGAAGTGCAAAAAAGGATTTCAAACGTTCAGAAGGGATAAAAACATCATTCTCACAAAATATAATTTCAGATCGATTTTTCTCGAGTTTCAGTGATTTTTGCAGGTAGAGACTTCAGAGTTTGTCAGAGTTTCCCGAACGTCTATCTGACCTACTTCATGTCTCCAGCTTCTTGTTGGAACTTATTTCTAGACTCAATTTTAGAAAACTCATAAAATTTCAATAATTTAATTTATTACATAGAAATTCAAGTAGAAATGTACAAAAAGGAATCAGGCGAGGAAGAAAAAATTGGAACCGAGTGATTGTTTTTTGATTGACTATTAACAAAAACCGTACAGTGTGAGGGGTAGAAAAATCTTTGGTTTTAAAGGGTATTTTAAAAATTTGAAAATTTAAAAAAAACTAGCGTGGGGAAGGGGGCAGTAGAAAATGTTCAAAAAACGACAGGAAACACATAAATACATGTAGTCGACAAGAGTATCTTGTACTGGCATGAGTAAAAAAGCTGGTTGGACCATAATAAAAATCAAGTGGAACTTTCCACAATGAGATATCGTTCGGTAGGTGCTTCTTCTTCTTCATTATTTTTTGGCTTTCTGGTGAATGTTCCTCCTTGAATGTCTGGGCGATTTTTCATCAGCCATTCTTCTAGTTTGTACTGCTCTTCAAGCTCCAAGTGAAGTTGGCCGTCGACACGGTTGAGGAGCTGGAAATCAAAATTGTAGGAGTTGCAAACTGCCAAAATGTTTTCTAATAAAATGAGCAAAAAATCTTGCCTCGCCAGCACATTCCTTCAGGTGCGCCTTTAGGTAGTGGACACATGTGTTGAAGTTTGGACGAACATCCGGGGATTTGTGCCAACAGTTTTTCATAAGTGCGTACCTCAAAATTAGATTTGTTTTCTACTTGATAATAAAAAGGCAAACAAAATTTTTTTGACAAAATTTGGGGCCAAAATGAGAAACAATTAAAAATTGATTTCCTGGTTTTAGGTATAATGCCAAAAATGTTAATTTAGGGACAGAACCTTATCAATTTCAAGTTCATCTTGACGAAAATCAATTGAACACTAGTATTAAAAAACTTACAGATCGTCATGACAGTATTCCGGTTGTTCGTTCCGCATTCCACTTCGCAAAAATTCTTCGAGTTGTTCATTTGGGACTTGAGCATACGGTCGGTTACCCAACGTGAAAATTTCATAAAGTGTGATACCATACGACCAAACATCAGTTTTTTCAGTGAATTTATACGTTTGTACAGACTCCGGAGCCATCCAACGGACGGGAAGAGTAACTTGTTTGCCATTTTTGATTCTGAAACATTTTTGTTCAAGTTGTTTGTTGGAAATTTGAAAGGATCATACCTATAGTAATTTTTATCTGTGTAACGTTTGGCAAGTCCAAAATCGGCAATTCTGCAGATTTTTGAGGATGTGATCAATACATTTCGTGCAGCTAAATCTCGATGGACACACTGAAATTGATGAGTTTGATGACGTCAAAATTATTAAAATTCTTACCGGTACAGCCGCCAAAAACTCCATTCCATTTGCAATTTGAAGTGCAAAAGATAGAAGATCCGCTGTGGACAGAATATCACTAGAAGGGAGAAGACGGGTATATTCGATTTGCTGAGATGGTACCGAATAGTTTTCATTGACTACGGGTTCTTCCATATCAATTAGCGTATTGTGAAATGTCTCTCTGTGTTTTCGCAAGTAGTTCAGAAGATCCCCATTATCAGCGTATTCGGTGACAAGATAGAACTCTCCTCTGAAAAACAATTGGATTTGAAAATTATGTTCAGAACGAGAGAGGCTCTCACTTTCTCATGTTAGTCGTGACAGCACCGATAAGAGAAATTACATTGGGATGTTTCTCAATGGCACACATGATTTTCAACTCTTCGAACAACATTGTCTGAAGCTCCATGTCAAATGATTTTTTTGTACTTTTAATAGCAACTGGAAGACGTGTTTTGTACTCGATTTGACTTTTAGGATCTGCCATTGACAAATATCCCTTATTGACAAATCCAAACATTCCAGAGCCGATTTTCTCACAAATTTCCAAATTTTCTCTGGCAATTTCAAATTCTTCGGGATACCGAAGATAGTCGGCGCGTTCTTCAATGGGAAGCAGTTTCAGATTCTCAGGCAGTGGTCCCGGATCGTTCTGCTTCATGAGGTATAACATGTTTAGTTGTCTGAAAAACGATTTGATATGGTTTATAGAACTATCTCGAGTGACTCACATGTCTTTCTGTTTAGTGATCTTCTTGTTGGCTCGGAGTTTGTAGAAAAGATAACAAATTAGAATGATGGCAGCGAGGACGAGGATTGTTAAGAACCAGTAGAAGAATGAAGATCGTTCAGGGACGTTGTCGACTTGAACCTCGATGAAATTGCTGGTGAGTCCAGCACGGTTCACAGCTAAACACTGGAATTGTCCATCATCCTCAGCACGAGCTCTGCTCACTTTGAGAATACTCCCTTCCATATCACCACTAGTATATGGATGTCCATCTTTGAACCATTTTACATCCGGAAGTGGATTTCCAGTCATTCCACAATCGATAACAAACGTTTCGTCGTAGTTGACAGTAACCGTTGAACGAGATTCAGCGTCCGTGTGATATGGTTTGGAAATGCTTTCCACTTTAAGCACGATTTCTTGGAACTCTTCGGATTCGCCCTTCTTGACAACACATTGGTATTTTCCACTGGAGCTTGGTGTGATGTCTCTGTAATGTTTATTGGTCGAACTAAAAGAAAATCATAGTTTTGAGCCGAGACGGGCCAAAATGAAAAACTGTTCGACTCGGCATGGCCCGGGTCAAATTCTATAAGTTTTAAATTTTGAAATTTTAATTTAAATTTTAAAAAGTTTCATAGTTCCGATACTTTCGTAAGGACGGAATAACTCAGAAACATTTTTTTCGGTGAAATTCGATGAATTTTTTCTTTTTTTTAATTAGCTGTCCAAACCGACTGAGTTGGGCCGGTCATGAGGAGTTTTTTCAACCAGGCTCGGCCCAACCCGGAATTTGATGTGAATGAATGTTTGGTTCAGTTCTTCATAATCGAGTTTTTCGCTTTTTACCTCAACCTTCAAACTTACAATAAAACTCACTTCAAATCGAGCACCACAAGCTTTGAATGTCCTTTAACTTCTGTATCCGACGATTCCAAATCGTTGTTTTTGAATCTCCAAGACACATTCCAATCAGCTGCTCCATTTGGTACGACACAGGTTAATTTCACATTGTCTCCCTCGTAGATTACATTTGGAAGTCCAATGATGTAGCTTTGTCGCTCTTCTCGATGGCAGAGAAGACTGTGAAAGCTTCGTCGGCGACAATGATGGATTTGATGGCAGTGTACTTCTAAAAAAGAGAAACAATTGCTAAGATTCCGGACCATAAAAGCTTACATTTCCATTCCGGGTGCTCGTACATCTGAGTTCTGTATCGTCATCTAGGGTCGTGTTCCAAATAAATCCTCTCTCAAAAGTTCCTTCAACACTCATCAATAATTCCCGATCAATCTCCTCGAAATCGCCACTTTCTCTATTCTTCCGCTCGAATGTAACATCTGCTGGAGGTATCGAAATGGAGACACAATCAATGTGGAGGTGGGTGTCAGGTGGATAAAATTGCTGGTTGAAAACAATAAACGAAGACGGTTCACGGACCGTAATTTGCACATCTGGCTGCTCGTTTTCAAATGGAATGTAGCTCTTTCCATCCAGTGGATAAAAAGCAAATTTTGCTGACAGGCTAGCCTGTTTCACTTCTTTGCCTCGTAGAATTTGTCGGCTTCTCACGATCCACTTGAGTTTTACTTGCGCATCGTTTGCCTAGAGTGTTTGAAATAAAATCCTGCGACATACAAAGTTTTTCAAATGCCGTACCATTTCTTAAAATCATCATCTTGAAAAAAGCAAAATTTTGACATGTGACAGGACATATCTATAGTTAAACTTGATAGAAACGGCCAAACTTATTTTTTAACATAATCAGAAGAACGTAATCTTATCAACGGTTTGAACAGAATTTTGATTTAGGCCCTAGAATCAAAAATATTTACGATTTTCCGAGCCTGACCCCTATTTTTGGTGAAGTGTGACATGTGACAGGGCACATCTATAGTTAATCTTGATGGAAATAGCCAGACTCTTGTTTAAACATGATTAAAATGACAAAATCTTATCAACGGCTTGAACAGAATTTTAAATTAGGCCCTAAAAATAAAAATATTCACTGATGATGGGACACCTTTTGTCTTTGATCATAACCTGAGATTGAAAAAAAATATCAAAAAACTGATAACTCCATTCGATTTAAATTTAAAAATCACTATTAAAAAAATAAAACCAGCTTGGTTCGTCTAGTGAAAGTAGGTTAAATGAACGATTTCCGAAAGATATCCTTCCAGCTTCGGACAGCCGAAATCGACCATTTTCCATTTCACCTATTTTCACGATACGAAACAAACCAGTAACATTTGTCTAATAGTATTTTTTAATTTTAAATCGAATGGCGTTAACATTTTTTTGATATTTTTTTTCGTTCTCAAGTTATGATCAAAAACAAAAGGTGTCCCATCATCAGTGAATATTTTTATTTTTAGGGCCTAATTAAAAATTCTGTTAAAGCCGTTGATAAGATTTTGTTCTTCTGATTATGTTAAAAAATAAGTTTGGCAGTTTCTATCAAGTTTAACTATAGATATGCCCTATCACATGTAAAAATTTTGCTTTTTTCAAGATGATGATTTTAAGAAATGGTACGGCATTTGAAAAATTGACTTTGTATGTCGCAGGATTTTATTTCAAACACTCTAGGCAAACGATGCGCAAGTAAAAATTACAAAAACAAGTATGCCCCTCACCATACCGGCCGCCGAGGACAACGAATTCAAAGAAGCCAAGTACCAAAAATCGATATTTTTCGGCATAACTTGTGTGAGCATGATTTCCCCCGGGGTATTGATATGTTTCTATAGTAAATCAAGTGTGCTGAATTCAATGGTCATAATGAGAAAAAAGTTAACCTAGGATTTTTGAGATATCGAAAAATTTTTTGATTTTTTCAAAAAATCAATAATCCAATCAATAGGAAAAAAAATTAAAAAATTTTATTCTCAAATGTTCAATCAATTGTCTATCTACTATTTTTTAATTTCAACAAACGGGCAT